ATAACAAACAGAAATAACACAAAATGAATTGTAGCTATGTGCCGATTCCGCGTGACACGTCCGAACATGCAAGCTAAACAATAATGTGGGGGGAGTGAGTAATCAAGTGTTCTGTGGCGCTCAATCAAAAGACGAATCGATGAGATTTGAAAATCGCGTAACTTCGAGTTCGCGTAAGTCGGCATAGCGTAAGTCGAGGTATTAGTACGCGGTAGAAGGCGGTACGCGGTACGAGGTATTAGTACGCGGCAACACCCATAACGCGGTAGATACGTTCCACTTTATACGAATTTCACGTTGTAGGAATTCTTAAATATATGAGCCAATCACAGCCCGGCACGTGTGCAGTTTACGGACTATGGCTGTTTGAAAGTTTTTCTTTTATAAAATTAATCGAATCTAGACTAATTTCACTCAACATTTCCAAAACACATAAATTTTTGAGAATAAACTATGCTATAAACAAAAAATTGTAGAATTACTTACCGAGTGTGCACCATTCGATGACGCCATTGCTTAAGCTTCTTTTCGTCGCGGAGCAGTGCACCAAACGGCAAGCGCGTTTTCTGATAAGTTATTTTTCTGTGAAAAATTCGTTGAACTTTGGAGACATCATTAATAGAAATAATTTTTATGGCCGTTGAATAAGAAATGTTTTTTTTCACAAGAAATGTATAAAATTACAGTACTGTATTAGACTTATAGTTTCTAATTTATATACTATACAGACGATAGTAAACTCAACTTACCCGCCTAAACTCTCCACAGCGTGTAAGTAGTTCGGCTGCTCGTCTACTATTGGTCCAGATTCGACCAATCCTGTCGCGACACGAGTCGGCGATGACGTTTTACCGTATTTTACGAGTCTCCTTAAGCGAATACGAATACGCAATTACGAGTCTCCTTTATACGAATACGGTCGCAATTTTTTCGTCGCGATATACGAATCCGCATTATATGAACCCGCTTTATATGGGGTGTCGGGATAAAATCGTCTGACATACGACTTCTCGCGCCTTTCCGTATTTTCAAACGAACGACGGTTGTTACCATGGTAACGTCGATCAGACAACTTTGGATACTCGACCACGGATTGGCTGCAAAATATCGTACGACCAGCGGACGTCCGATAGCGCTACTAAGCGCTGATTGGTGGAATTCCATTTGCCTCAATCCATATAAAAGGATTGAGTTTAGGCGGGAAGTTTAGTTCGCCTAGGACACATCAAGTGAACTCACGTTCGTCTAGCTTCGCCTAAGCTTGCCTAGAAGATTATTTCGTCNGTCCGATAGCGCTACTAAGCGCTGATTGGTGGAATTCCATTTGCCTCAATCCATATAAAAGGATTGAGTTTAGGCGGGAAGTTTAGTTCGCCTAGGACACATCAAGTGAACTCACGTTCGTCTAGCTTCGCCTAAGCTTGCCTAGAAGATTATTTCGTCCCGCTGTGCGGTAACTAACGTTTGAAGGAGTTCGTCGCAAGATGTCCTTTTCGATGAATCTGTTGTCTTGGTTTAAAAGTATTTGAACTTTGTTACACCTGAAGTATTGTAATTTGTTTGTTTGTGAACTTTTGTAACTGTATGTACGTTTTACTCGTAATATAAACGTTTTTGTGGAAATTCAACAACGTCTCGTATCGTTTTGAATTTGACTGGGGAGTCGACTGTATTTACCTTCCAATTTTTCAATACTTCAACGATTTTGACTGGTTTCATAACTTAGCCGTTGATGTTGAGAAAACAAGATCCCAGAGTTTAGGCGATCATGATAGTGAGTCAAAAAGTTTTTTGTTAGCTGTTGATAATGGCAAACATCGTCTCAATTAATTCGATGAACATACTTTAGTAAAAAAATCAGAGAAGTAATGTCTGCTTTTCTAAATTTTATTCCAATTTAATTTGTTGGAAATCGTTAATAAATTCATTACTAAGAGTTTTTTCAGAAATAATATCCCAATCAACATTATCTTGAATTCGTCTTATTACGTTTTCTGAAAAAGAAAATTCTTTAGAACTAGAGAATTCTTTCCAATCAAAATTTGAATCTACTTCGCAAGTTAGCATGCCTACGTTTCTGAGATCCATGAAATCCATTACAATATGAAATGATCGACTTATTTTAACCTTCCTTCAATATTAATATGAAAAATGATTAGTTTTATTGACTGTCTTGCTTTATATAATTTTTTTTATGATAAAACCGCTTGTTTTGTTTTCACTGATAAGTTCGTTTTAGGTCAATGAACTTAAAATACTATTTACAATTAATAATTTTTATTATTAAATAAAACAAGACACGAAATTTTCGAAAAAATGCATTTTATTAGTTTTTACATTCGTATCCAAAATACATTTTCAGAATATTATTTTCGGGTCTACATCTTTGATTATTTTTTTCAGAATCAACCAAACATTCGTCAAAATAGTTGAATGTTTTGCTAGATTCTGATAAAATTTGTACGATTCGATGATTGTAAGATTATTTTGTTGTAAGCAGCCATTGGAAATCTTTTTCATTCTCGTGAATAACCTGGGTTCAAATTCTACAGAATATAGTATTTTGATGGTGGGTGGAAAGTTTTGTGATTTACCCTATTTTTTTGCCAATTCGATACAACGGAATTTTTTTAAAGAGGAGGCGTAATTTTTCACTGAGTGGAAAAACACCCGTCCAAGTGTAAGCAGGTAGTATATCTGCATAACTCTTCCATTGTTTCTAATAACATAATTTTGGAATTTGCGAAATAGTTTTATTGTGTTTTCACACATGCACATTTGTGTTTTTGTTTCATTACTACACAATGATTTTGGTTTTAAGCATTATTTGTACATCATGTCACGTAAACTATTAACCACTATCGCTATTATAAGCTGTTTAGAAATATTTTCGGTAATAGTTCTTATAGTTTTATTAAGTAGATTGGGTTTTAAGGAAAGCGATATAAAAAATACTAATTGTGAATATTCTTTATATTTAGATACTTTTATTTACATAAATGTACAAATGCTGGAAGAGATGTATATGATATTCGAAAATTCACGACCGAAGGATTACCTCATAAATATATCGGTGTGCAATTATTAAAGAAGGAATTTAACTTACTCTGTACGAAATGCGTTTAAAACATCCGTCAAGTTGTATAGTCATTGGCTCGACTCAATCTGGGAAGACTTCTTTCGTTCGGAAAATGCTGCGTAAAAATATCTATAAAAAAACCGTTAAAAAGAGTTATGTGGTATTACTCAATGTTTCAACCATGGTCCGTGAAAGAGAAAAATATTCATTTTAATTGTGATATTCTCAAAAATATCGAAAATTTGGATTTAATAATTATAGACGATTTAATTAATGCATTCTTTAACCGAAAAAATTGCTGAATTATTTATCGTTAAATCTCATCATAAAAATATGTGTTATATTGATAATGCAAAATTTACTTTCTCGTAATAAAGTAATGAGAGATATAAGTTTAAATACTCGTTATTTGATAATATTTATTTATTTGATAACTCGGACTGCGCGTGACGATGGAGTCCAAAACCCGAGTTATCTCGGAAAAGGGCCTTAACGGTCCTCAAGAAAGGGCCTGGACATTATTATTTGAAAAATGTATGTATCAGCACATATACATTGTTAGCTATTACCTAGGCAAATGTAATGAATTATTTTTGCTGCAAAAATTTTTTATGACGATTTATTAATTACATAATTAATTGCACTATTGTTTTATGGTAGTTTTTTTTTTAATTGATTAAATTGTTCTAAACTTCTATTTGACCGTTTTGACTTCTGTAAAATTTTTTAAAACAACATTGAATGTTTTCTATGACATCAGCAGGTATTTTTTGCTTTTTATTGAGTATAATTTTTCCCCATACCTTTTTTTCGATTCCCCCGTATTTTAATAATATAAAAATCGAAAATTTTGTGTTATATTTCAATAAATGCAGTTAGTTAGCTCTCCTGCTTTAAACCAGTATTACCATAATTAAGTATTACCATATTTACCATAAACCAGTATTATATGAGGCATACATGAGAACTGTCCAGGAAAGCTGACACCAGGGGTCGTATTCTGGTCACTTATCTCTCGTCTCTTCTTTCACCGACGAATGACGTCAAAGCGAGAGACGAAATTCGTCTCTCATACACAGTGGCGATTATGATCGTTCGTAACGATCTCGTCTTTGTTGTTGACGTCACGATTCTATTCGGCTGATTATACATGTTCAGGTTATCTGCGCGCGCAACACGGTATAGAATTTTAACCAATGAAATTGTAAAATTTTCGAAAGTGCGGAGTATGTAATCATAGATCACGTGACAAGGAAAGCACGTGTTCAAATAATGCATGTAATTTTTCGACGAAGTAATTATTATTTTTAAATGTTTTATAACGTTTTTAGATTGTAATGTCAATTTGTCTCTTTTAACAAATTAAAATTTTAATAACCTAAGTTAGAAAAGCGTGAGTTCTTAGATATTTTTCGAAATATTGCGATCTAATTTCTTCTTAACTATCTAAGTAAGATTAACATCATATTCGACAGTTCAGTAATTGATGTAGAATAATTTTAAAAAAAATGGAATTAGTGACGTTTCCGAGTAGGCGCTGGAAAATATCGAATTTTTTAATTTTCAATTTTCAATTTTTTAATATCGAATTATTCATTTTTTTCCATTTCTTTACTTATTTACTTATTTCTCATTGATATCCTTATCATTTTAATGACAGTGTTCTTAATAATCTTCTGAATTGGGTTTGAAAACAATTGTATTTTGAACCCTCTTTAAACCTGGGAAATAGATTGTTAGCACCACTTAACCTTTCCAATATATTTGTGCTGGAAAATATAAATGCAATAAATTACAATTTGTTCTTAGTTTCCTCGTAACTGAAATCAGAAATTTTTATCTTACGTAAAGAATTATTTTCACATAAATTTTACCTAAAAGCAAACAATATTTTGCTATTTATTTGAGAAATTGCTTTTTATAAAAGAAGCAATTCTCAAATTGAATTATAAAGATTTAAAATAAGTAAATAAAAGTTAGTATAAATGAACCAATGTTTTTTAATTTGATAATGAAACAAATATCACATCTTTCAACTTATTTTCAGTGATAATTACTGTTTCTTCTATCCTTGGAAATTCCGTAATCAGCACTAACACGTTTTATATTACTGTATTCCTACATCAAACGCTTCATTTCTTCCGACATCTCTTCAGTAATCGGCATCTAACTGCAAGCTGCAATCTAAGTCTTCGATCCAGGAACCGGATACATCATTATAGAAGTCTGCTTTTCTTCTATCTTCTAATTCAAATGTTGCTATTTGGCAAGGAAAAAGTGTTAATGTAAACGAACATTTGGATAACAATTTCAAAATCTTCACACATTTAAATATTCCGTTTCTAAATCCCAATACGAATTATTGTATCAGTAAAACTTGATAAACCTAACTTAAATAACCACCGTTAATTAATAAAAATAAATTCAATTAAATTATTTCTAAATCTAAGCAATTGTATTAATTAGGATTTTTAAAATTTTAAAAGTTTTAAGCATTTTTCTTTACTTCTAAATAATTTTTCATGAATTTTTAATAGACGACGATGGTTTATGCAGTAAAGAAAAGTATCTTTCAGGATTTTAAATTCCTACTTTAAATTATCTTCTAATATTTTACTTATGCAAGGCAACTAAATATAATTATTTTAAATTATGTTAATATAATCAATATGCAATTACCATTTATTTAGGTTATAAAGTTATTAAATTAAATCGTTTTAACTTTTTCTTTGATATCAGGTAAAATTTTCCAGAAAAACATTTATTTTTCTTCATTTTGTAGTAACAAATTTAACTCTTTTTCTTTACGGATTAAAATAACTATAGAAGGAAGAAGCAAACCACGAAAGATGTCTGTCCGAATATAATTGAAATTTAACATTAATATTAATAAAATAAAAGTACGACTCTTACAAAAAAAATTTTGTTTCAGTCATTTCTTTCGTTGTTCGCACCATCAGCAGTTCGTAAAATCACAAACTCACGGAGACGACCTTCCTTTTTAGGCTACTGCCTCCGTAGTTAAAATGTAAAAAATGATAAAAGCGTCATCTGGTGTTCTTGCCACAATCACAAAATACATTTCAAGTAAAAAATAATAAGTTTTGCATGGCCAACGACTATTTTATATTAATAAAATAAAAGTACGACTCTTACAAAAAAANTTTTTTTTTGTAAGAGTCGTACTTTTATTTTATTAATATAAAATAATCGTTGGCCATGTAAAACTTATTATTTTTTACTTGAAAGTTATTATTTTTTACTTTAACATTAATGTTTATAAATTGTTAGAATTCAAATACGATATTCCAAACGTATTATAGAAGTGGAGTTTTATTTTTGTTTTAGCAAATACAGAAAACTAAATAATTAAAGTACACTGAATAAAATTTCCAATAAAAATCTAACCTTTCTGTCATTCAGTGCAATTAAATTAAATTACTAAATACAAATGTAAAAACTGTAGAACCTATATATTTCTTTCTAAATTTTAACTAGTTAAATGTGGAAAATAGGAATTGGACACCTTCCTATTTAACCAATACAAAGACGCAAATTAAGCTGTTTTATTATAACTTAACCCTCAAAACAGAATTGTCAAGTACTTAACACTACATGTATATTGTGTTTAACTTCTTGTACAGAACTCTAGGAGTGTGAAGTATAATGATAAATTTTGCACGTTGTATAGATGAAATGTAAAAACATTTCATCTGAAATGAAATGTTTTTACATTTAAATGGCAAAATTGCTATTTTGCCATTTAAATGTAAAAATTTTAATTCACATTTTAAGACTTCTATTTTAACCACAGTTTCTATGCTATGTTTGTGTTATCAACGGTGTTGTTTACGGCGACGATGCACGATGAGTAAATGAACGGATCGACAAAAACTTAGATAATTGAAAATGAACCTGATTATCACCTGCTAATTATAACCGATATTAAACGATAAAGAAATGTAGAAATTAGACTACTTATCTCGATTCTTCTTTCTTGTGTCGTGAGGAAGAAATGTCATGAAAATTTGATCTTGAAGGAACACAAACAGGAAATGAAATCCTTGTGAAATATCTGAAATGAAACGTTTACAAGACAAAAGATGATGATTTTACATGAGTGCATATTATCAGAATTTAGTGCTTTAAAGATTTATGTGACAAAATGTGATCCTTGGGGAATAAATAAAAGTGTAACAGATTAAAAAAAGTATTTTTATTAAAAATTGCTATTTTGCCATTTAAATGTAAAAATTGATTCAGATCAAATTATAAATCAAGTAATAATGCTAATGTTGGTGATAATATTATTTTTACAGTTTTATTTGACTTCAATACTTCATAGTAAACCTAGCTATTTAGGACCATCTTATATTACATATATTTGACACAATCCCTGTTCGTAAATCGACTATAGATTAAGATATAGTTTCTTTATAGTTTCTTCTTTCTTCTAAAATATTTAGCTTCTTTATATACAGGGATGTTTCTCTCATTTCATTTACTTTATGTATCTCCTATTGTTATTCAAACATAAAATATCGCTTATAGATTCCGGAATTTCTACGTGCCAAATTATATCTTTCATAAACTTTCTAAGGAGAATTAAGTGTATTTCCTGAATTTACTTCTGTTTATTATTACAAAATTATCATACGATTATTTTAATAATTTGAGGATAAGTACCTAATTTTAACGATAAGAAGTTTATATCTAACCAAACTCTATTAATAAATCAACCTATTTAATTTACTAAGACGATATTTTGTATAAAATTCTTAAATCTAAATATTGAAGATGTTTTGAGTCGAGGCACTATTCAATTTATTCAACTTTAAGCACATAAAACTAGAATTGCTTACTTGCAAAAAACGTATAGAATCAAAATTCTTTCGTAAACTTTTTAAATGAAGAAAAGAATAGTAGAAAATTCCAGAGATTCTCACCATTTTGTTGATCAACAATATAAAAAAAGAAATTGTTAACTCGGAAGCTATTGTTAATTAATTAAGTATGACGTCACGAGAAATGCGTCGGTTTTTACGTCGAAATTTCTGTTAAACAGTTTAAATTATTACTATAAACGTCCAATATTTGTGTACAGTTTTTAAATTTCAGCATAATTCAGAAATGAATAAAAATTGGACGTGAAATGCGAGGGATTAGGTCTATCTATCAACAACATACTATCTTATAGTAAAAAGACTTAAGACATGACGAAGTTCTGAGAGAAGGTCATAACCTTTCCCCAGAATTTCATATTTGAAAGATTCGTATGTTATAATTAATTTTATCAAGTTATTTAAATTCACATTTTAAAACTTCTATTTTAACCAGAGTTTCTATGCTATGTTTGTGTTTTCAACGGTGTTGTTTACGGCGACGATACACGATGAGTAAATGAACGGATCGACAAAAACTTACATAATTGTTCAATTATGAAAGTTTATTTACAACGTTTTTTTACACTAACGGAAAAAACGAAATTTGTGATGTAATGTTTTTAGAGGAAGCCCTTCAATTTACAAATTCGCATTCGTAATAAATATTTTAATAAGACTACATTGAAAACCGATTGTACAACTGTTGCGTTGCTTTATCCCATCAATTCAATTCAATTATAATTACAGTTACTATATTATGCTTTTACTTGACAAATTACAATATATATTTTTGATTATATTATATATAAATTTAAAAATCGTTTTCATAAACATATGTGAAACGTTTACTTTATTAATTAACACTTATTTGTACTATACATCTATTTTATATCCGAATTAAGATGTGCCAGTGCTGTCATAATATACAGATAACCCCTGTATAACACGGCACTTCTATACCACGGATTCACTCTAACACGGTTCGAGAATTGGGAACATCCCCGTATAACACGGTGCTTTTATAGCACTGGTTCACTCTAACAGGTTCGGGAATTGGGTGAAACCCTCGTATAACATGAAATGTAATAAAGGGTGCGTTCTTTTATACCTCCGCGTATCTCCGCGCAAGTATTCTAATTCTTTTCGTGGCTATTTTGAATGCTCTTTCAAACAAATAATCTATTTAATGGTTAAATTTTACAATTGGGACCCTTCTTTCGCCTCTAAAAGCTCATTTTAGAATTATAGATTCCTCCATCACGATACTATCGGTAGTGCGGGCGCTGCCATCTTTCTTTCACCGTCATTCCTAAATGCCTACAAACAGCAGTGCACTCCCGCTGCAGAGCGACCGCTATTAACGAACGCACCCAAAAACTGTTACCAGTTGATGATGCTCATGCTGAGATCATCATATAGGATGAATAATTTTTTGGTAAAATATTTACTTAAATAATAAATAAGTATTTTGCCTATGAAAAAATGAATAATAAATCCGATTTACATAAGAATTTAACAGCATGTTCTTTTAATTTTTGGAACCTAACCCCCTTTTAGCATTAGTTCTTTGTTTCGTATAACACGGATTCTCATAACACGGCAATTTTTTGGAACGTAACTTCTGTGTTATGCAGGGGTTACCTGTATATGAATAGACTATATAACTATTAGTTTAAAATAGAATTAAAAAATCTATTATTTTCATTCCACGAAACACGAAATACAGATAAACAATGTATATTTCTATGATTTGAAATGAAAATTCGGACCGCTAAATTTGCAATATTCTGAGAAAGCGAAAGACCACAATAAAAATACTGAATTCGAACAATTAGTATATTTAGGGGCCGTCCATAAATTACGTAAGGGCGATTTCGGCCATTCCAGGCCCCCACCTACCGCTGTGTAAGAAATATTTTCTTTAATAACCCCTCCCCTTCCCTATCTTACGTAATATTTAAGCATGATTTTATATTGATAGAAAGATTTTAACAAAAAAAAAATTTTATGAAACCCTAAAAGCTTTAGGTCCAAAATATATAATTATTAATTAGTTAATTAATATGTATTATTATTTATAAAAAACTTTATGTGAACAAATTTTAAAATATAAAAATCTAATGAATTCGAGTGAACAATTTATTTTAAGAACTTTATTTTTTAATTATAGGCCTATACAATCTTTTTATTATTATCATCATTAATCAACGTCATAATATTTATTTTTATATAAATTTTAATTTTCACAAAAGGACGCAAAAAACTTTGACAGCTCGAGTAGCTAGAGCACGTGTAAACAGAAACGTCACACAAAATAAAACGAGAGAATAGAGAAAAACCACATAAAATTGCCATATTAATTACATCTTGGCTAAGGCCAAGAAAATAAACTACATACTGCAAAAATGTGCTAGGTGCACCTGGGGACTAAATTATAAAGCTTGTAAAACTCTATATAATTGGGTAATACAACCAATGTTACTTTACGCGGCCTCTAGCTGGGGTCATGTAACTAGTAAAAATTCAGTAGCAAGTAAATTGCTCTCTCTTCATAGACAATTTGCCATCAGAATTTCAGTGCTGCAGAACTGTTTCTACTAATGCCTCTCTGATTCTAGCAGAGCTCCTTCCTTTGCCACTATGTATTGTAGAAAAGGTTCTGAATTACTACATCAGAACTACAAACAACAAGGCAAGAACTACAAATAACAATAGTCTCTACTCCTATCTACGGCTGTTCATATGCCACCACATTGCAATTACCCTACTATCTGTGATTATCACCCTGTAAACAAGGTGTCAGGTACATTTGGTGTCATCCGCTTCTTCCATGGATAGCCAGGCAAACATTAATATCTACACAAATGGGTCTAAAAGTTCCCTTCATATTGGCTTAAGTATCTATATCTTCCTCCAAACTGACATATTTTGGTATAGGTACAGTCCTTTTCACATACCTCCATCTATCAAACTGAAGATGCTGACTACCAAGCTGTTCAGTGGGCCACTTCACTACCAAACAAAACTCTATCAACATTTACAGCGATTCTCAGTCTGTCCTAAAAGCTCTGTTAAATCCCAATTGCAATGGCAATAAAATCGCATATATCTAGCACCATATTAAAATTCTTGTAAATAAGATAACTTTTACATCTGTTCCTGGCCGTACTGACATACTAGGAAATGAAAAAGCCGACTTTGAAGCTAAGTCAGTTGCAAAGGACATTGGTTTGGACTACACTCGCATCCCTCTCTCACGTAGCAGCCTTAAAAATTATATTTATGACAACGCTTTGCAAAAGTGGAATCAACAATAGTTGAGCATGTTTATGCTTCTAACACAATATAGTGCTATAAATTAAGACACTTGGCGGATTTTTTCATCTTTATTTAGTTGATCAACTAAATAAAGATGAAAAAATCCGCCAAGTGTCTTAATTTATAGCACTATATTGTGTTAGAAGCATAAACATGCTCAACTATTGTTGATTCCACTTTTGCAAAGCGTTGTCATAAATATAATTTTTAAGGCTGCTACGTGAGAGAGGGATGCGAGTGTAGTCCAAACCAATGTCCTTTGCAACTGACTTAGCTTCAAAGTCGGCTTTTTCATTTCCTAGTATGTCAGTACGGCCAGGAACAGATGTAAAAGTTATCTTATTTACAAGAATTTTAATATGGTGCTAGATATATGCGATTTTATTGCCATTGCAATTGGGATTTAACAGAGCTTTTAGGACAGACTGAGAATCGCTGTAAATGTTGATAGAGTTTTGTTTGGTAGTGAAGTGGCCCACTGAACAGCTTGGTAGTCAGCATCTTCAGTTTGATAGATGGAGGTATGTGAAAAGGACTGTACCTATACCAAAATATGTCAGTTTGGAGGAAGATATAGATACTTAAGCCAATATGAAGGGAACTTTTAGACCCATTTGTGTAGATATTAATGTTTGCCTGGCTATCCATGGAAGAAGCGGATGACACCAAATGTACCTGACACCTTGTTTACAGGGTGATAATCACAGATAGTAGGGTAATTGCAATGTGGTGGCATATGAACAGCCGTAGATAGGAGTAGAGACTATTGTTATTTGTAGTTCTTGCCTTGTTGTTTGTAGTTCTGATGTAGTAATTCAGAACCTTTTCTACAATACATAGTGGCAAAGGAAGGAGCTCTGCTAGAATCAGAGAGGCATTAGTAGAAACAGTTCTGCAGCACTGAAATTCTGATGGCAAATTGTCTATGAAGAGAGAGCAATTTACTTGCTACTGAATTTTTACTAGTTACATGACCCCAGCTAGAGGCCGCGTAAAGTAACATTGGTTGTATTACCCAATTATATAGAGTTTTACAAGCTTTATAATTTAGTCCCCAGGTGCACCTAGCACATTTTTGCAGTATGTAGTTTATTTTCTTGGCCTTAGCCAAGATGTAATTAATATGGCAATTTTATGTGGTTTTTCTCTATTCTCTCGTTTTATTTTGTGTGACGTTTCTGTTTACACGTGCTCTAGCTACTCGAGCTGTCAAAGTTTTTTGCGTCCTTTTGTGAAAATTAAAATTTATATAAAAATAAATATTATGACGTTGATTAATGATGATAATAATAAAAAGATTGTATAGGCCTATAATTAAAAAATAAAGTTCTTAAAATAAATTGTTCACTCGAATTCATTAGATTTTTATATTTTAAAATTTGTTCACATAAAGTTTTTTATAAATAATAATACATATTAATTAACTAATTAATAATTATANTTTCAATGCTGCTATCTGAAGAAATAATACAATTATCGATGCCAAGAAACTACAAAACTAATAAAATAACATTAATTAATTAACAAAAATTTCTATAAAAAATATGATTAAAATCGATTTACCTGAAGTATACTTTCATTGGTAATTACATGATCACAGAAAATTGTTAACCCAAATGAAGATGATGTTCTTTTCATCATGTAGTTCAACTGAATAATATAAAAATTATATCATGTATACTGTATTTTTCAGAATGCGCATTTTATACTAAAAACTAAAATAATAATTAATAAAATATTCTGACTTTCAAGATCTAATTGAAAAAAAAAAATTA